AATTTCCTCACGTTGAACTTGCATTTCTCGATCATGTGACCGGGAAGACGAACCAACATTGTTACTTTGAGCCATTTGTTGGTCAATATCATCCGCAATTATATCTTCATGCTCATAGACCATAAATATTTAATCAGTACTTTGGTATTCTCGTAAATAATTATGTAACATTGTACAAGCTATGAAAATTTTCACTTGTGTATCAATAGCATAATGGTTCATGCCTTGTTTCAGTATTCTATATCTATTTTTCCAAGCTCCAAAAGTTTGTTCAATCACATTGCGCAGAGATGAATGCCTATAATTAAACAATTCTTTGGCATTTTGAGGCTCTGCTTCACTTCCTCGGTAATCTCGCAAATGATAGCGTAGTCCTTTGTATGGAGTTAAAAATCCTTTTGTGTTTCAAAAACCAACATTAACAACATAATATTTATCTACTAACAAACATTTTATAAAGAATTACTAAAAGCATATGTGAAGTAAATGAGACAGCTTTGTGTAAATAAATAATATTTATTCTAAGGATGTAATTTAAAGTTACCATGTGGCGGAAATCGAAATTGTGATGTTGGTTTAACAAGTGCATTCTCAAGTACTTTACTATCATGTGCAGTACCTTCCCAACCAGCAGCAACAAAGGTAAATCACATATCAAAATCACAAACACATAAGACATTTTGTGATGTTCTTCCTTTGCAATTACGATATGCTTGTTGCACCTCTTTAGAAACCTCCCCTTCTATATATGTTCCATCAATCGCATCAACACTATATGTTGGTGAGAATAATAAATTTTTATGTCGGTGAAAATAATAAATTTTAAAAAGTAATGATGTGATTATAAATTTTATTTACATATGAAACAAATGGTTAATAGATATAAATGTGGGGTTGTTTTAATACAAACTCATGGATCAATTTTTGTATTAAAATATCTCAAATCATGATATGAAATTCTCATATAATTTCATATCATGGTTTTTGGAGAATATGGTATCACATCTCATGATATGGAATCGTGAGATGGAATCAGCCTAAAATCGCATGTCCAAACGCTGATTCCATCTCACGATATCATAATGTGATATGGTATCGCATGGCCAAACGCCTACTAAATAAAATATAAGACAACTAAAAAATCTACCACTTGACAATTCTAAACAAAATATAAGACTACTAGAAAATCTATAACTTACAAGTATTTTTCACTACATAATTAAAATCTATTCCTATCATCTCTGCATAAATTGGTAAGTTCTTCTTTTTAAGCGTTTTGTTTTTTGTAAGAATTTGTTATTGTTTCTTGTGATATGAGATGGATAGACTATGTAAAGAGAAATGCATGTGATTTTTTTCACGAAAACTGATTTTAAGACTTGGAATCATAGTTTGGAACGATTCAATTTACATTATGGTGAAGTAAATAGCGTCCACAATAGGTGTTTCAACAAGATGCTAGATTTTGAGAATCAATCTCAATCCATTCAAGTTGCTTTTAACAAGCAATGTGAGAAACAAGAAGTGAGCATCAAATTAGTTTAGAGGCTTCTACTAATGTGGCAAGGTTCCTCTTGGAATTTGGATTGTCTTTTCGAGCTCATAATGAAAGTGAGTCTTCAAAAAATAAAGGTCCTTTTTTAGGTTTTTTGAATTGGCTTGGAAAAATGCTTCCGGATATAATGTTATTTTAAAACATGCTAAAAAAAATGATATGATGACTTCTCCAAAAAAAAATGTTAACGTTACCCGTGTGCCACTCCTAGCCTTACCCTTGAATCACTCTTAGTGCCCCCTATCTTCAAATCCTGGGTTCGCCTCTAATAATACATAAATATGTCATTCACCTTGGCTTCAACTTGCATCTATGCCTTCCAATTTTGAGTGTGTACAAGTAGACACTTAAAGTTATATAAAATTGAACAAATAGATACATTCGTCCTATATATGTGACGTCATACATGACAATTTTGTATTTTATGTGGCGTCCTACGTGTATTATACCAAATAATAGTGTGTGTACTTGTTAAATTATGTACAAATTTAAATAGTTACTTATGCTCCATAACTATAGTTCCTTTTGCTATGGAGGTTGCAGTTGTATATTTCTGTCTGTTTGTATATTTCGCTTGCGAATATACAAGTAGGGTAAGTATATACAAATTTTGTATTTATACATTTACGAATTTTTTAAAACTTCATTTGTATATTTCTCTTGCCAATATACCAACAGAGTAATTTATTATGATTTTTTCTTAAATCGTATACAAATAGCTTGGATAAGCATATACAAAATTCTAAATTTATACAATCAGAAACCGAATTATACACATTCCGAATTTATACAAATCAGATAAATATTAAGATTCAAGATTGTGCGTAACTATATTTGCAAATGAAAATTTCCCTAAGCAGTAGCTATAACGTTTAATATGGTTTAAGTGTTTGTTATTCTCCACAATTTTCCCTATAAATTTTGATGATAGCATCCAAATGGACCATTTTTAAGGCCCAGCCCACACTAAGCTCCCTCTTCATTCATTATAAAAATAGTAAAAAAAAAAAAAAGGAAAAAACTTTCTTCCTTCCTCTAAAAGCTAAAGGTTCCTCAGTTTTGCTAAAATTTCACACATTGCAGCAAAAAATTCTCTAATTTTCCCAATCAACATGACTCAAGGTATGCAAATTCTCTCTTTTGTTGTTTTTTTTGGATTATGAAAGTGGATTTGAGTCTATAGTTGAAGAAAAATAGCATTTTTCTCTCCAGTTATTTACTAACCTGAAGTGGAAATTTTACTATTCAGATATGAAATTTGAAGTTTTAGAATTTGATAAAGTAACTTAGATTCCTCATTTTATTGAGTTGTGTCTTTCAATTGATCCCAAAAAAGTTTAATTTTACTCCTATTATGTAGTGGAAGAACAAGACACTAAAGAAAGAAAAAAATATGCTTTGAGAATTAGGTTTCAAGGCTTAAGCCCTGAAGTGAGGCTAAAAATGCATACTTTTCCGAAGAGGCGCCACTAAACAAATGACAATTGATATTTCACTTTGTAGTTAAAAAAAATCAATTTATTTGATCATATATGTGGCATTCGTGCTTATAATTATTAGTGTTTGTATTTTTTCTTCTGTTCGCGTGTTTTCATTAAAGCCTATGCTTTATTTGCACGTTATGCTTAAAGCCGTTGTGCTTTTTGGTTTTTGATAACACTTGTAGAAGCACCTTTAGTGGTCGTTTGATAGAGTGTATAAAAATAATGTATAATAGGGTGTATTAGTAATACTTTTATTAGTTATGCTTGCATTAGTTAAACATAGAATATTTTTTATGCATTGTTTGGTTTGGTGTATTAAAAAAAGTAAGTATTGTATAAAAATGTGTATTTACAAAAGCATCCTCCACAATTATGGTGGAAAAGATGTAAAAGTGCTTTTGAGGGGTAATTGAGTCTTTAACCATACTAATGCATGTATTAAGTCCTTTGCATTACTAATACCTAGAAATTTATATACATGGCATAAAAAAATGTACCAAACAAGGTATTACTAATACACAAAGCTAATGCAAGCATTATTTTTGTTAATACACTCTACCAAACGACCCCTTAGTTTGTTCATTTTGTGCACAATAGGATGTGACTTAGTGGTCGATGAAGTATGAGGGAAATCGTGAGGTTAAGAAAATGCTTGGTAATTTCTATTTATCTGCCTAGGATTTGGTGGGCAGAGACTCAGAGTTACATGATTCATGTGTTGGTGGGAGGTACTACATATTTAGTGTAATATTCTATGTGCACGCAAGGTGGCTCGGACATCACTGTCGTTAAAGATAAGACACTACTAAACTTAAGGGACTAATTTGATTTTTTTTTCTCCATATTCTTCTAACAGATGGAACAAGATGTGTCATTGAAGGGGATAGTGAAGATAGAATCAGTGGTTTACCAAGAAATGTTATCGATCGTATCCTTGAGCTCATACCAGTTGAAGATGCAGCAAGAACTAGTATTTTGTCTCGAAACTGGAGATATATTTGGGCAACATTTCCAAATCTGGTGCTGGATGACCGCTTCCTTCATAATTTTATAGGAAAGCTCCAATTCAACTTCACAGAAGCGGTAGATTGTATTCTGTTATTGCATATGGGGAACATTGTGAAGTTTGTTCTTGACACTAGAGGAGTTTTTACTGCAAATTCTTCATATGCAATTATCGATAGATGGATTCTTTATGTCACCAGAAATGGAGTCAAGATGCTAACCCTTCACATTTCAAATGATGATACCTATACTCTGCCTTCTTCTATTTTTATTTGTTCAACCTTGACATATTTGAAACTCTCCAACTGTGTCTTCAGACCACCCAATCCCTTTCTTGGTTTTCAGAATCTTATTACCCTTCGTCTGGAAGGGTCAACCTTTGTGCCAGCCACATCATTTTGTGTTATCAAGGCTCCCCTTCTTGCCAGATTGGATTTGATCTTGTGTCGTGGTACGCAATACCTAAACATTGTTTCACCAGGGCTGAAGTTCTTGTACATTCAGGACAGTCACTCATATCTCGTGCTAGATTGCTTTATGAACTGCAAGAATATAAGACTGTTAAAACTTGAATTTAACAGAGTGGTTGATGATCCAACAAATGATAAAATATCAACTTTGGAGAAGCTTCTTGTTAGCTCTCCTGCACTTGAGGTACTCCGTTTAGATTCATTCTTTGTTGAGGTAAGATATTGACTACTTGTTTCTCTTGATATCTTATAGTGATGGCAATTTCGTATGATTCTAATTATTGTGTTTTCTTCAAAGCGTGCACGCATTGTTCCGAATGGGCAACCTTCTACACTCAACTGCTTGTGGCATCTATATTTAGATGTAGACTTCAGCAAAATGGGTCAGATTTCTAATGTTCTGCAGTTAATTAAGAGTTCCCCCAATTTGAGGAAACTCCGTATTTCGGTAAGAAAAGAAAATATATGCACGATCTGGTTCCTTTTTGCACTTCATAATTGTGAACATGAGAATCTAAAATAGCTTGGTATTTTCTTCATATACATATTAGGTCCATGCTACAAGTGACAATGCTGAAGCAATCTTGAAGTATCTTGATACGCCATCCTGCCTGGAACAACCACTCGACAAGCTAGAGCACATTTTCATCAACTTTTTTAAGAGATCAAAAACTGAACTGCTTTTTGTAAAGCTATTGCTTTCTCGCACTCCATCTCTTTTAAAGATGTGCATTGACCAGGTTGCAGACATAGACGTTGATATTGCCTTAGAATTGATGCGTTTCGCCAGGGCTTCTCCGAGGGCAGAGCTATTCTATTCTCGGATAACTCTGTGATTTGAGTGTTGGAAGGCAGACTGATGTTTATCCGTTGTCAATTAGTTTTGTTAAAACAAGGGATGAATTGGCAAATTTTGTAAAAAATGTGTGGTACCTTTGTGCATATGTTCTTCACTAGATGTTTTTGATGCTCAGCATGCGTCGATGTGTTTGATATGACTAGATGTCTTTTGCTATATTTCTTTGTATTCTACTTCTGATTCAAGTTGCACTGGCTATTGAGAAATAGGGTGTCTGATGGTTTAGCATAAAGTGTTATTTTTTTCACACCATTGTGTATATTGCTTGTTAAGATTCTTGTCACTATTGTACATATTGTTGTGCTATACAACTTTCCTGATAGTTGTCTAATTTCCTTGTGTTTTTGAACAAAGAAGGCAGCTGAGTTTCCTCCGGAAACAAGCCTCTCTACCTTCACGACGTAGGGATAAGGTTTGTGTACTCTTTACTTTCTCCAAACTATGTTTGTTGTATATGTTATTGTTGTTGTTTTGAACAGAGAAGGTAGGAGGTTGTGGGAAACATATGAAGCCAGATTGTTAAGTGTTACTAGTTGCCAATCTGTAAAGTGTTTTTGGGCCAATAGCCACATTGGTTTGGGCCATTACTTTCACGTATGATCACTGAACTTTACTTGATTATTAGTCTTAGATTGTTCCAACAAGTAGTATTATTGAGTTAACTCACCTTTGGAGAATCGCGACCCTTTGTCCTCACCTTTTTATATAGCATATGTTTCGTGGAGGAGTTGTGATTGTCTTTTTATGAGGAAAAGTCGAAATAGAATTAACTTGAACTTAGACATGTTATTCGAAATCTCAATGAAGTTTAAGTACTTTAATGTAACAAAATATTTTTATTTAGTTATGAAGTAGACAAAGTTTGATGATCATAGGTAAAATTAACATATATGAAAAGTATCTGAATAATTTAATGTTAATCATTAAATTACGACAAATACAATGAGAACTTAATAAACAAGTAGAAGCATATTCTAAATCATCTCCAACCCACCTCTCTTTTACTCTCCATTCTCTATATTTGGAGAGTAAAATAGAGAATGCACTCTCCAACCCCTTTCCATATCATTCTCTATACTCCATTTATAGAGAGGTGAATAGGAGTTCTTCAAATTTGGAGAACTACTATTCACACTCTCTATTTCACTTTTTGAATAATTTTATTATTATTTTTCATTACTTTCTAATTAACATATTATTTTACATATAATGTCATTAATTAAATATCTAATATTCCTACTTCTTTTAAATGTAATATAATATTTTTAAAATATATTATTTAATATATACTACTTTCATCCCGAATTAATAGTATTTTAATTTTTCTTAATTTTCGTTCGACAATATAATTTGATTTTATTATTAATTTTCACTATAAAAAATACACATAATTAAAATGATAAGATGAAAAATTTAATTTAAAAATAAAACACATAATATGATATTTTAAATACAAGATAACGATACAATACATAACATAATAATTAAAATACAAGATAAAATACAATACATAACATAATAATTAATTCGCAATGAAACAAGAATCATGCCGAAAAGATGTTGAACGTGCATTCGGAGTTTTGCAATCACGTTTTGCAATATTTGTAGGACTGTCGCATTTTTGGAGAAATGAAGTGCTACATGATATAATAATTACATGTATTATACTGCACAACATGATAATTGAGGATGAACGTGATCTTAATGCACCAATTCAAGATGTCGTAGAGGCTCCAACTCCAACGACAAAAATGGAGGTAGATGAAAATCTCCGATTTGAACAACTTTTAGCTAGACATGAGAAAATTAAGGACAAAAATGCTCATTTTGAACTCCATTATGCATAAATAGAGCATTTATGGGAGCAACGTAATAATTTCAAAAATTGAGTGTTTATGTAATGTTTATGTAATTGTATTTCACTTTTATTTGAATTTGTCCATTAATTTGTATATTATATAATATTTTGTTGCAATTTATGTTATTTAAAATTTAGAATAAAATATAATTTTATATTAAAATAACAAAAATTGAAAAAATAAAATTTTATATCACAAGAAAATTATATAAAGTAATATTGAGAAAAAGAAATAAAAAATGTATATTATGAAATAAGAAAATAAGAATGAAATAGAAATAATAATATAATATTGAGGAGAGAGGAAAAAAAAAATTAGAGAGAAAAATTGAGAATTGGGTTGGAGTTGATTGTCTGGAAAAATAAAAAAACTCTATATTTAGAGAGTAAAATAGAGTGTAGGGTTGGAGATGCCATAAGATCAATCAATTGGATAACAGATCCTCGTGTATACACTAACAATGATTAATAAAAAACTCAAAGAAATAATATAAACGCTAAATCAAATGGTGTAGACGTGTAGTATGACAAATGAAATCTCTTCTTCTTTAATCAAAAGATATCGCGTTTGAGTCCTAGTTAAGAATGATAATGTCTAGAGTGTTTTTCCTTTACTAGATTATACACAATAACAAATTCGAATTAATCAGATAAGTGAATTTCAAATATCCATATGAGTGATGCTTTTGTCTGAGAGATTTGTTTTTCTTTTTAATAATTAAGGGCCAAACCCATTATTGATCCAAAAAAAAGAAAAATATATCTATCATATCGTTATATTATTATTATTTTTTCATAATTTAGTTTTATGTGTTCCAACTTCCAAGTATTGTTCTAGTTTTGTACAAACATATATACTATTGTGGATTATTATTGTCCACAAATCTTGATCAACATTACAAAGTCAAGTTGATATTGATAGTGCATAAAGTTTGATTAAATATTATTCAAGTTTTGAATTTTCAATATAATGTGTTCCTCACTTTATATTATGCAGTTTACTTGTACAAATTCATATCAAATCAAACTCATGAATAATATTTTCTAAAGTCCAAATTCCTCCCCCCTTGTTCTTGAGGTCCCCCACCCCATTCTTTCTCCATCTCTTTGGATATCCAACGACAACAATAACATATCGAGTATATTTTCACAAATGAAGTCTGAAAAGAATGAAGTATACACAACTTTTTAAGAGGTAGTTTCCGATAGACTATGCATGAATCAAGTAAAGCATATTAGCAAACATAATCGATCTACGACACAATATTATTCTAATAGATTCATTTTCGCTTGCTCACAAGACTTCCTCTTTATTTTTTTTAGAAAAGGGGACAAGTCAAGTAAGTATTTAGATTATCTATTAAATCTTTCTAAAATAACACACACATCTCGTCCTTCATTCATTTTCGCTACGAAAAATACAATTTTCATTAAAAAAAAGTAAGTAAAATAGCTAAAAGTACTTGATTCATTTCACACCTTTGAATTATTATCACTCGAATGACTTAAAAAAATAACAACAATCAGTATGATCCCATAAGTGTGATCAAATCTGAAGAAAGTAGAATACACGCATACCTTATCCCTACTTTGAGAGGTAAAATATCATTAAAAAAAAGAATTAAAAAATTAGATTTTAACTTCATAGACGATAGTGATTTGCTGACAACTCGAATTTCCCTCTTAACAACGTACCCAATACCAACAAAGTTGGCTGTCTTCATATGAGATAATGACAGAAAAAGAACTTCTTACAATTCATATTATTATAACAATATCTTTTTTTTTCTGCTTTATTTTTAATTTTAAAAAAATGCTTAATTTTTCATGTTGTCTTGTTTATATGATTCTAAAATTTGATGCTTCCAAAGGAATATCTTTGTAGTTTGGGAGTTTGTAAATTCAAATCTATTGTTTATTTAGTTTGTCTCTGCAGGCTATGGAATCTCTTTGGAATTTGCTGCACACAAAAACGCATTCGATATTTACATCAAATCATATTAATATTAATCATTATTAAGGAGCGATTCGATATGAGTTATAATAATGGTAGTATATATAAAGACATGCTATATATTCATCGAGTTAGTGTAAACATCCATCATTAAAGTTGAAGTCTATCCACTTCGAAACAATTCAAGATATGTGATATTTGAAGTTGTGCTTATGCTTAAACTCAAACATATATAATCAAAGTTCAATCATTTTTGCATGAACTTCACTCGTGTGGTTGGATTCAATCCTTTTTTTTTTATTAAAGTTCGTCCATTTTTGTCTGAACTTCAGCTATATATAACTTCAAACACCACAGGTCTGAAGTCGTTCTGAAGTTGGTAAACGTGCAAGAAATTTTTTAAAATGGATACAAGTTAAATAGCGGCCGTAAATTTTTGACCCACAGGCCACAAGTATAACACCAGATATAAACACAAATTCAAGTAGACTGAAGTTTTTGGTCCCATCATATTAAATGGTGCAGTAGTCACCAACTTTTTAACAAACTTTGAATATAGAATATGGACTGTTGTAAATTGTGTTGAAACTTCATAGAAATATATATTATTATTTTTATGATTGTGGTGTCCGGACCAGCTTTCTTGCACCTCGACTAATTCCAACAGGTATCAGATAACTCTGTACACCAAGGCTAAGACTAGGACAGATGGGAAGAAATATGTATTTCTGCATAGAACTCACTAAAGTCCAAGTCTTTAATTAAAGGAATAATTGTAAACCTTATGCAAGAGGAATAAAAGCATCACTTACCTATATAAAAATATTATATAAGAATGAGCTTGTTCCTGCACCACCAACACCATTGCCATAATAATATTCTTCAAAATTCCTAAAAACTCATAACAATGGCATTTTTAGCTACCATTTCTGGCCTTGACAGTCTGTTCCTTTCCAATACCCTAAACAATAACTTTACTTTCAGTAGAAAGCTCCCACCTAGTCAATCTTACAGTTTCCTTCACAAGAAAATCAAGGCTAGCAATGTCGCGAACTCATTCCGAGCTTTTCAAGTCAAGGAACAAGAAGTTTCATCCAAGGCAGAGAAATTCATCTTGCCTAAGTTTGAGTTTCAAGAATACATGGTAATGAAGGCAATCAAGGTAAACAAAGCACTAGATGAAGCAATACCAATGCAAGAGCCTATAAAAATTCATGAAGCCATGAGGTACTCACTTCTAGCTGGAGGAAAACGTGTCCGGCCGATCCTCTGCATGGCTTCTTGTGAAGTTGTAGGAGGGGATGAATCCTTAGCTATACCTGCAGCTTGCGCGGTTGAGATGATCCATACCATGTCACTCGTCCATGATGATCTTCCTTGCATGGACAACGATGATCTACGTCGTGGCAAGCCCACGAACCATAAGGTTTTTGGGGAAAACACTGCAGTTCTTGTAGGGGATGCACTTTTGTCTTTGGCCTTTGAACATGTGGCTACCAAGACTCAGAATGTGACACCCCAAAGAGTGGTTCAAGCCATTGGGGAATTGGGTTCAGCCGTTGGCTCAGAAGGGCTCGTGGCAGGGCAGATTGTGGACTTGGCGAGTGAGGGAAAACAAGTTAGCCTAACTGAACTGGAGTACATTCACCACCATAAGACGGCGAGGCTTTTGGAGGCTGCTGTGGTTTGTGGGGCAATAATGGGGGGAGGAAATGAGGTTGATGTGGAGAGAATGAGGAGCTATGCTAGGTGCATTGGACTGTTGTTTCAAGTGGTAGATGATATTCTTGATGTTACTAAGTCATCAGATGAGTTGGGAAAGACAGCTGGTAAGGACCTAATAACAGATAAGGCTACATATCCTAAGTTGATGGGGCTAGAAAAGGCTCGGCAATATGCCAGTGAGCTGATGGCTAAGGCCATGAATGAGCTAAGCTACTTTGATTCTGCCAAGGCAGCACCTCTTTATCATATTGCTAGTTATATTGCAAATCGACAGAATTGATATGCTGAATAGGACGAAGACGATGTATATACCTTATTGAACTGTCTGTATAAGTAAAGGTAAGTGTGATGGAACTGAACTTTGTGTCGTATTTCTTCTTATGGGAACAGGTAAAAGAATATGAAACATGCCATATAAATAGGGTAAGTTCATCAAGTTGGATCATGTAGGTATCCTATATCATTTCTATATTAATTAACAACTATATGTTAGTCACCAGTTTTTTCAAACATCTATGTTACTCCAATAACATGAATCATCAGCTCGAAAGCGTGTAACAGAAGTATTTCCACCCAATCGAATTGCCCATTAACTATGACTACAACAAATAAAATAAATAAAACACAAGAAGTTTTTACTACTTAATCTGTTCTAAATTCTTTTCTATAATTATGAAAAAATAAAAGGGTAGTCAGGTGCACAAAGCATCCTGCATTCATGCAAAGGGATGCACCCCAAGCGATATAGAAAATATGGCAGTGCACAAAACTACCCTTGGCAAACAAATCTTATGCAGCACGAAAATATCGCACTACACCAAGTGATTAACATTAATGCTTTGCTATTAACATTCCAGATCTGAAAATAACTTTTGGCTACACACAAGCATTAGGAAGAGTATGTATTACATATATAACTCAGGCTATCATTCAGTCAAACAAGGATGAGTATGTGTTTTATTAACAATATACATGGCAAAGAACTGTCATACAGCCTTCCAAATGCTAGCTTACTATACCTTGTGACAAAAATCTAATCCTCAGAAATGCAAAAGATGATATAGTTTGTCTAACCCATGACTTTTGGTCGCCAACCCTCAATGACGTCCTCTTTTAGTGCCCGCGTGTTGATGAATGATTCTCTGGAGAATATACTCTGAGCACAAAACAAATTCAGGTATGAGAAACTATCCAGTTGGCAACTATCTCACCAGACCGATAAATGCATGTATAACTATTATCTACCAAAGAATTCCATTGACTCGTCTTTTATCTTTCCTAATTTGTTCTCTTTTATTCATCTTTTTATCTGTTAGGGTTTGGAGGAGGAGGATTTTAGGAGGTACAGGAAGAAGAAATGGTGTAAAGAAAGCATATTATCCTTGATCCATATTCTATTATCCATAATTCTATTTCTCCATGCACCTCCAAATACTTCCGAGTCAAAGCCGAACCAAATTTTAGGTTTAAGTGGGCCTTTAGGATCTCCAATAAGATAGAAAATCCTCATCTAAGTTTAATGAATGTTGCACATGCACATATATATCAGAAGGTTGGAACTTGATATTATTCATAGCCAATAATAATGAAAGAAACTACATAAAACTGAAGCTGAGGGGTCAATTTTCCACTAATGACAACTGTCTGTTGTTTGTTTTTTAAATCTATGAACCGAGACATTGAAACTAGTTCTAAGGATATAAAGAGAGATTACAACAATTTTGAGGAAGGCCATAAATCTTAACTTTTGAGACTGACAAATAAAAGAAATTAACAAAGTCAAGATTGCAAATATCTATAGATTGATCATCTTCCATTCATGGGTAACAGAGACTATTTAGGAATTACAGGGAGACGAAGCTAAGTTAAGGATCCTAAAGCAGACACAGCAAGCAATTGCTGCCTAAACTGAACAAGGATCTCTATGTACGGAATAGTTATAAGAACAATATATGAATAAACAAATAAAGATAACCTAAAGAAGGAACTCTGCATAAGCTTCGGATACCTTCATGTATGATTTCACGTAGGAAAGTGAATCTGGAATAGACCAATTCTTATAGTGCCCCAAAGATATTTCTAAATGATATAGCTTTGGTCCAAGCGACAAATCAGCAGCAGATACCTCATTTCCGTTGATAAATGGACCCTTCAGTTGAAAACAAAGAATAACTTTGTCAACAGTAGCTAGAAGCTGGAAGGAAAAAAATCTAAAATTAAACTGTTTGAGAAAGATATGCATAAGGTGGATTTTCACATTTGTGTAATTCAGCAAATTCACAATTCCCACAAACCAAGACACTTGTTTCTCCTTTTCAGATTTTTAAATAAAGATTCTCTCTTTTTCATCAAAAACAAGGGCTTCAATAAAAGATGTTTTGCCTTTCACACGGAAGGGAGAAAACAAAACGTCAAGTATAGTTGAAGGTTGTGGCCACCAACAAGTACTATATTAATCAACTCAAGGTTAATTTGGGTTCTTTTATTCATCTTTGATCATTCTCCTTATTTTCTTCCTGCAATACTACTATTAGAGATACTAGCAGTGTTGATGCCAGCTTTGTTTTGATTTGGAGAAGATTAAAAGAAGAAAAAAAATTGAGGTACGAAAAATGAAATGCGTGTCTCAGCACAATTTCTTCAGGCATACTGATTTATTGATTTCCTGCAATGTCAAACTAGGCCGAAGCAGATCTAAGATTTGCCTGATCCAAGTAAACCCAACAAATTGCAACTAAAACAAGAGTGAAAATCACTTTCATCTAACTTCAGCAGCAATGTTTTAGAAGCAAAAAGCATAACACAGTGACAAGGTCCATGAGGCTTGAAGTGAAAAGCGAGAAGTAAAGCGTGCGACTCTTAAAAGTGAAGCACGTAATCAACAGAAAATTTGAAGGCCCATACATATTTGAATTTAGTACTACAATAGTCAAGTTTCAATTAAAATAACTAATTTAACATCCAATACATAATAATTTAATCCAACTCCTCAAAGTGAGATTCAAGAATTGACCGTTTCTCATTTAAATGTTCGCCACTTATCTTCACACATTAAGCAACAAACCCATTGTTTTGCAACACTTCTTTGCTTATCACTACAATGCACATTTTCCTCGGATCCAAGCAGTGATCAATTTGTGAATCTTGGCAAAGGCAATTAAATTAGGTTAAAACCCAAAAACAATCACTTACATTTTCTTTAAGGTAATCATTGAAAGCTGTCAGCTCATCAAGTAAAGCCTGCTCTGTTCCATCAGTGGGGTCTTTGCTTTTCAGAAAAGCAACAAACTTCGGGAAGATCTTTGATCCACTACAAAATTATGGAAGATAATGAGAAACAGTTGTGCACTATATTGGCAAATGATTAGTAATTGGATTTCATAGGCAAACACAATATGAATTAGCAGCATAACTATGGCTACAAAGTGAAAGCTGATCACAGATACATACATCTCGGTTGGGAACAGTGGAAGTAAAAATGTTATTTTGCAACCTTACGACTACGACCAGTTTTTACTATTTATTCAGGAAAACGATTCAATGTAATAAGAACAATGCTTTTGGCTGTGGATGAACATTAAAACTGCTGTCAAGAATGATGAGAAGGGGATGCCATGTCTCTAAGTCAAAGCAAGGAAGGGCCTGTTTGACAGCTATGGTTGAATTACAACTTACATGTACCTTGAAAGCTAACATAGCCCAGAGGATAGGATATCTCTTTCTATGAAACTTCAAAGATTAAATTAAATGTATAGAAGGACTTAGTTTTTGGTATAGCTTTGTTAGGCACACTTCTGTACAGAAATTATCTTGTAAATCCTCAGATATGACAGAGGTAAGGCAAAGTTCCCCTCTTCTTCCGTAAGCCTACTTTCATATCTATAGAAGTGCCCAACCTAGTTCTTTTTTTCTTTTTTTTTTTAAAAGGATCAATTCTTTTAAAATGTGTGGTACGTAATGGAACAAAAACACAAATATGTCACTTGAGGGGTCAAAAGATTTGAAAGACTGATGAAAGATTCAGAAAACGTTCAACTCCTGTTATTGATTAAAATAATCATATAACAGCTAGAAATGAACAGAAAAGACTTTTCAAAATCAAACTGTAGAATCAATTTCAGCAAGAAGAAGTTATATATAACCATGCATGCCTATTTTTAAATGAGAAAACTGTATGTCAATGATGGCCACATGTAAAACCTACATGGAAGCCTTCTCAGGAGGAGTTGTCAGCGGAGGTTCAGGGAACTTCTCCTCCAGTGCCTGTGTGATGACATCTGAATCTGGAACCCATTTCTCGTCAAGCTTAATAAGTGGAACTTTACCTTCAGGGCTTATCTTCAAAAACCTAGATAAGTTGTTATCAAAAGAATGTCAATTACTCAACAAAATTGCAGCTTGAAAATAATACTAATTTATCATCACTTGTAGCAACAACAGACTTAGATGAACGGGTATTAAAACTAACCAGTCAGGCTTGTTACTTAAATCAACAAACTTCATGTCATATGGAAGGTGCTTTTCCTCCAACGTAAGCAAAACCCTCTGAGTGAATGGGCCTGAATGAGAAAAAGAAAGCATTGTGACTCCAAATTCTCAACTTAAAATGTTGTTCTTTTACTAATGCCACTAGTGCAATAATTTGTACCTATGATTTAATAGGCTAGTCCATAGAAAAGGTTAATTAACTGACATGTTCAAACTACAATTCCCCAATAAGCACTTCATGTACTACACTTGCCACCGGCAAGAGAAATTCTAACAGAAAAATTGCAACTTTGAAGTTCCTATTTCATTTCCCTCTTCTTGCACAGGTCCAACTCCATCTATACTGAGCTTCACATAGCATAATCATTCTCAAACCCAGATAAAGGTGGAGAATTGCGTAGGCTAATGATTAATATAAAGCGAAATGGATACAGATCATTGAATACTCGTTTGAATAAAGCGAAATGGATACAGACAATTCAAATCCAACCCCAACTAGTTAGGGAACAAGGCCTAATTGATTGAGTTTGTTGTTACCTATAGTATTGTGTTGTATTGTTACTTTAAACTACAATATTTATTTTGATTATTACTTTAACTTTATTGCATTGTATCGCTAAATTTCTCGTTATGAAGTCACATTTTATGTATCGACTTATTCGTATGATCTCATTTGCCTTGTTTTTTTTGCAATTTGCCTTTGCTTATTTTTTAAATAATCTTATTTATCCTTTGCGCTAATTCTTTTTTATAATAACTCTACCCTGCACCCTACTTTTCTTTATAATATTGTAAGTTTGTCTTCATATTACTAATATGCAGCATTATGGCTGATTATGCAACGACGGAAAACACATAATCTATCCAAATATTATATTCATACAAATAATACAGTACAATACAATAGGATATGTTATGAAACGATATGTAACAACCATCCAAAACAAGCTGTGAAAGGTACCCCAAAAATTTATCAGTAGCAAAATTGTTCTTGGGAATGAAAATATCCTCATAAAAACACTAAACTTTAGCGCAAAATGAACAAGCATCAGACAATGAACTCCAAGAACAAAGCTGAACAATTGAGGAATTTTACAAGAGAAACCATACAGTCACCAAGCTTATTTGGGGTTATGATTGATTGTTTGACACAAACTTCAAAAGGGGTGTCGACTGAAACCACTGATACAGTGAAAGCTCTTCTGGGTGCTCTAAACTTGGTGAAATTGACGGGTAAAAAATTGATCTTTATGAATGATAATATTCTAAAAAGCACTAACTTTTAGTATAATCATGAAATGCTACTCTGCCTTTACAATCCCAAATGAACAAGCATCAAACAATGAACTCCAAGAATATCAGCACATATAAAGATATCAAAGACATAAAAGCTAAGTAATTGAGCAAATTTTCAAAAGGAGAGACTTACAGTCGCCGAGCTTGTTAGGAGTTGTGATTGATTGTTTGACGCAAACTTCAAGAGGGGTGTCGAGTGAAGCCGCCATTGATACAGTAAAAGCTCTTCTGGGTGCTCTAAACTTAGTGGAATTGGAGGTAAAAATGGTGTTTTGGAGTCGAGGTAGTTGAATGCCCGCAAGGTGTTTGATAGAAGTCGCAAATGAAGCAGCTGATGGTGTTATCTTTACTGTCGACATGGTGACACTCTTGTTTTTGATGAGTGGCAATTAGCAAATGGTAGGAGAGAGTGCAAGATATGGTGTGGAATTCAATTTTATCTCTATAAGGGCATTTTCGTCTTTCTTTGATAACCGCGGTATCCTGGTGCATCTTGATTGATTTCACGTGATATCAGCTGGCTAGCATGCATTTTAACTAATTTCACGGGATGTTGATCGGTTTCAATTAAGCCTTTTAAGATTTAAATTTCGATGTGTTTCACGAATATTGGCTTCCATGCATCTCGACTAATGTTACGAGATGTCGATCGATTTCAATTAAGCCTTTCTGGATCCAACATTCTCTAAATTCTTCTAATCCCCCACCTTCCAACAACAAGTAAAAGACCAAGATTAGGATATACAACAACAACAACAACAACAACAACAACAAACCCAGTGAA